GGCGATCCTTCCGCCTCAGCCTTCCAAGTAGCCGGAACTACAGGCGTGCGCTACCACTCCAAGCTAGTTTTTGCTTTATTGTAGAGATGAGGTCTCGCCCGCCAAGTTGCCTGGCGGGTCTCGAATCCGCGGACTCAGGCAGTCCACTCACCTCGGCCTTCCAAAGTGCTGGAATTACAGATTGAGCCACTGAACCCGGCCACAACTTTTTTTTTTTAAGAGCCCTTTATCTTTTCCAAAACAACATTTTTTTTTTTTTTAGTCACAGTCACTCTGCCACCCAGACTATACTCACAGCCACTGCAGCCTTGACCTGCTGGGCTCAGGCGATCCTTCCACCTCAGCTTTCCAAGTTACTGGAACTACAGGGTGTGCACCACCATACCCAACTAATTTTTTTTATTTATTTATTGTAGAGACAAGGTCTTGCCAAGTTGCCCAGGCTGGCCTCAGACCCCCTGGGCTGGGGCAGTCCTCTTGCCTTTGCCTCCCAAAGTGCTGGGATTATAGGTGTGAGCCACTGCACCCGGCCCCAAAACAACTTTCTAACAGGTCAAGCTCTCTGTCTAGACATGGAATGGGCAACCTTGAGCAGACAGTGAGTGCCCCACCACAGAAGATGCAAACAGGCGGATGACAATGCTGTAGGAGGCATTGAAGCACAGGGCCCAAACTTGGGCCAGAGCCCTGTCCAGGCTTGAGGTGCCATCTCATGGCATGCTCCCTGATTACATTTAGGAAGTTGTTACTTCAGAAGGAGCAGAGTGTCCTCCAGGCTCCCGGGTCTCCTCCAGTTGTTTGTCATCAGCTTGTAAGGTCTAAATAGACTGAAGGGTTGGCTCTGAGTGTCACCACCTCTTCCCCAACTCTTTTCTGGGGTGCACAGTTCAGGGAAGGCTTTTCCTGATGGGTGCTGTCAGGGATGCCCCTGGTAACACCCCGCACTTTCCCTCCTCCCCAACCCCTCCATCCACAGCCTCAGGACTCTACGTCCAGAGCAGCGAGGCACTGCACGTCATCACCAATGTGATCCATGCTAATGGAGACAGAGGTATCACTGTGGCCCAGAGCAGCCACCCCACCCGTGTGGCCAACAACAGCATCTCCTGTAACCGGCAGAGTGGGGTCAAGGTCGAGGCCCACTGCAAGGTGGAACTCCGGGGTAATGGTATCTATGACAACAGAGGCCATGGTATTATGACCAGAGGTGAAAACACTGTCATCATCGAAAATGACATCATTGGCAATCGGGGCAGTGGGCTGCAGCTGCTGCCCAGGTCTGACACTAAGGTATGCGTGCATGTGTGTGATGTGGGATCCAACACAGGGCACAGTCCTAGGACTGTCCTCGTGCCCTCTGCTGAGAAGCAGAACTATTAGCACTCAGCACGACAAGAGACATTATCCCTTCTGCCAAAACTCAGCCTGGGAAATGTGGGCGGGACTTTATACAGGAGGGGACATATGAACTGAGTCCTGAAGGATGAGCCAGAGTTTACCAGCAGGACCAGGCATGGGGGTGTCACCTCCTAGATCCATGGCACTGGAGCCTCCTGAAGTATCTTTGTGATCTCCAAATCAAGGTCAGGGCTATTTGAGCTCTTTCCATCAGAATAATCTTGCACAGTTTCTGGTACACAGTAGATTCTTAATGAGGAGAGAAATCCTGCCTTGGGGGTTTTGCACACACTCTTCCGCCATATGCACAGAATACCCTCCTTTGTACCTCAGGCCTGCAACTTAGCTGTCTCTTTCTTCAGGAAGACTCTCTGACCCCCAGACTGTTTGAAGGACCCCTTGTCTGGACTTCTGTGGTGTTTATGCCTACCCCTACTCACAGAGAACTTTCCAGTGCTTGGTAAATGTTCCTTTACCTGTCTGTCTTGCCACCAGACTGCGAGATCTGAGTACCTTTCTGTGCAAAGCACTATGCTGGGCGCTAGGGTTCCATGTTGAGCCAAACAGACCCATGCCCTACCCTTGTGGAATTAGTATTTCAAAGACTCTTTGGTCTGCAGCTTTGAGAGTCAGTGACTCAGGCAAGGAGTAAAGAATTCCTCAGATTTGCCTCTGGGCACTGGGAGCAGAGGGAGGGAGAGGGGGGCACACTTGCACCTCAGGTGGGTCGCCAGTGACTTCTGGTACCACAGCCCCTCTCTGCCTCTTTCTTCTTCCTGAAACAACTCTTTGTACCTGATAAGCTCCTACAACTTCCAGCCAGCCTTCCCTACCTTCCCCAGGCTGTCCTCCATGCCCTCCTTTGAGCTCCTGTGGCTCCGTGTTGACCTTGCCAGTGTGTTCTTACCCCCTTGGTTTTATACTTGATCACTCATTTGCCTGCTCCCCCACCAGTCTGGGAGTCCCTGACATGTGACAACCCCTGGCTGCCTCTCCCAGGTAATAAAGAACCGGATCCACTCATTTCGGGCCTATGGCATCGCAGTGCGGGGTTGCGCTACGGCCTTGGTGCAGGAGAACATCATCTTCCAGGGCAAAACCAATAAGACCGTCTTTCAGCAAATTTCAAACAACCGAGAATGCATCATGCAAAACAACAAGTTCCTGGTCTTCAAGAAAAAGTAAGTGCCTGGAGTTGCCTGAACCACTCTTCTAGAACCACAGTAAGGTCACTGGAGAAGGCAGGCCCAGCCCCACTGATTGTGGTTGCCCCCGCTCACTGCAATCCTGCCTGCTTTGGTTATGATCAGAAAAGGGCCTGTGCTTGGGCTCCATGTCAGGCCTGGCCTGAGGACCCTAGCCTGACTCCTGGGTAAGAACAGGCTTTTTAAGAACCAGGTATATGTGGTTTCAAATCTCAACTCTGCAAGTTATTGGCTGTGTGTCCTCAAGTAACCACGTTACTTAACATCTCTGAACCTTCGCAAATCCAGTTAATAATACCCAATTTAGGATAAAATAAGATCATGTTTCCTAGCTGGAGGACTGAGGTACTACAAAAATGTTAGTTGCTTCTGCTGCTGCTGCGCTTGTTTTTAGTATCTCCGCTTCACAACTGCCTCCCATTCATCATCCCCAAACCTCCTGTCCTTCCATGTTCCCCGTTTCAGCATCACCATTCACTCAGCATCTGGCAACAAAACCCTTGCCTCCTTTTTCTCCTTAATACCAGAGTTCAGTCAGTCACCAGGTCCTCTTGATTCTGCTTCTAAACTGTTCCTGTGTCTGACACCTCCTTTTCCCCAACTGCCACAATCCTAATTCAGGCCTCAGTACCTCACCCATACTAACAGCTGAGTCAAGGTCGTTAGTATGGGTACAGCTGTTCAAGTTGTTTATGAATGGACTCTGTTCTGATTGGCTGGTGATTTGCTATGCTGGATATAAAATAATAATGACTATTTCTGGTGTTATTGATGTCACTCCTGCACTGTTAATGTTGCCTGTCCTGTTGCAGCAGCCTCCTGCCCAGTCTCCCTGCCCACGGCCATCCCCTACTCCACTCTGCAGGCTGTCCTGTTTATCCTGCCAGGTTAATCTTTCTAAATGAGAGCTCGGGTCATGTCGCATTCATGGTCAGAAACCTCTGATGGATCTTTGTTTTCTATAGTAATGATCTCCACATTTTTTGTGTAATATATACTCTCAGAAAAAATATTTTTTAAGAAACTCCCTCATATAGGTATATTTATCACTTATATATGTGTATTCAATCAGTATATTATTTACATTATAAACTATCCCCCAAGGAGAAATTTTAAAAGTTTAAAGTAAAAAATAAAATCCAAGATGTTCTTTCCACATCCGAGCAAGTAACCTGTGGACTACACGGGATCCACATCCTCTCCCCTTTTGGAGACTGCAGGGTAAAGGATACACCCCAGATTTAGCAACCTGGGACTCTTCGGTCCTAGTTTTCCTTTTCCAGTCTTCTCATTTCATCCCTTGTTCTCAGTAGTGCCCCCTGCTGCCAAACTCCGACACATACAGTTTTTTCAGCATCCCTTGGGCTGCCCCACAGTAGCCAATCTCGGATTCCATCCCCACCTTTCCAGTTCTCTCATTGTAACAGTAGCATCATAAAAATACACATAAGACAATGTTGTTGCCTTAAGCTAATTGCGTTTGGCATGTGTAGGTGGCAGTCCCTTGTTTTTTTTGGGGGGGGGGGGTTTTGTTTGGTTTTTTGAGTTGGAGTCTCACTCTGTCGCCCAGACTCACTCTGTCACCGCTCCCTGCCACCGCAGCCTCGCCTACTGGGCTCCGGCAATCCTTCTGCCTCAGCCTTCCAAGTAGCCAGAATTACAGGCATGTGCTACCACGCCTGGCTGATTTTTTGATTTATTGTAGAGATGAGGTCTCGCTGCCCAGCCAGGTCTCAAACCCGCGGGCTCAGGCAATCCACTCACCTCAGCCTCCCAAAGGCGCGGGATTACAGGCTGAGCTACCGAGCCCGGCTGTGGCAGTCCCTTGTAACCAAACAACAGAAGACCCTGACCAAAGGTTCACTGTCATTTGATTTTCCCCAGCCTCCTTAATCTCTGCAAAAGCTTAAGTGACTGGAACCCACCAATTTCTATCCTCTGTAGATTTATATTTTCCAGAATGTCATATATAAGAAATGAGACTATATGCAGTCCTTTGAGTTTACTTTCACTTAGCCTAACACATCTGAGATTCATCCATGATGTTGCTTGTGATTTGTTCATTTATGTTCATTGCCTAGTAGTCTTCGTCTGCATGGACATAACATAGTTGAGTTATCCATTCAGCAGCTGAAGGGTATTTAGGTCATTTCTAGTTTTGGATGATTATGAATAAAGCTTCTAGAAATATTCATGGTCATACAGCTAGCTGGAAGAAAAATGAAAATGAGAGAAGACAAAAGAAAAACACTGATGCTACCCAGATCCTTCTTGAAAGTTGGAATTGAGGGAACGCATGAGGTTACATCCAGAATTGAAGGCAAGGCTGAACATGGAATGCAGGGCTTTACCCCTTAGTTTCACACGTTCCACCTCTCTGGGCTAATAGTAATCTGGGAGGCAAAACCTACACCAGACTTAAACACCTGGATCCATTGATCTGGGGCCAAAGGTAAGACTGAACAGGGCATTCAGTGAATGCTCTAGATCTCTCAGAGTTCATTAACTTTGATTTTGCACCTCCAGGTCTGATACATGGCGTTTGGTGAACCCACCAGCACGGCCTCACCTTGAAAACACTCTCACAGGCCCCTCTGCAGCCTACAACGGGCAGAAGGTGACAGCCATGGCAACCAGGATCACAGCCCGTGTGGAGGGTGGTTACCACAGCAACCGTAGTATCTTCTGCACCATCCTGTGAGGGTGGAGACCTGCCTCAGGCCCAGGCTCTGATGGGTGCTGACGAGCTAAGATGGAAATAGTGCCTGAAAAGACTCCACATCCCCCAACACCCCTTGAAAACACAGGGCCCAGGCTTCCTGGGCCTAAGAACAAGGTACCTCCAAAACCTTCAGCTCCACAGCCCTCAGCAGGAAGGAACTTGGAAATACTTTCAAGGGAAAAATGAAAGAGCAGTTGGTGGCTTTCCAGTCACTCAAGCTCTTATAGGGATTGCAAAGAGCTGAGAAACTCAAAACTTTTTGGTCAGAATTTTGTTTGAGTAATAATGAACTGGCCTTTTACACACACTGAACCTAGACTCTTCTCAGGAAAGAGCAGATTTACTCCTTCCAGAGCCAGGATTCTAGTGAGGTGGAAAGAGACACCTGCCCCAGGGCTTCCCCCACTCCCCCCCCTTTTTTTGAGTGGGAGTCTCTGTCACTCAGGCTGGAGTGTAGTAGCACGCTCATGGCCACTGCAGCCTCAACCTGCTGGGCTCAGGCGATCCTCCTGCCTCAGCCTTCCAAATAGCTGAAACTACAGGCATGTAGCACCAAGCCTGGCTAATTTTTTGATATCTTATTGTAGAGATGAGGGCTCACCAACTTGCCCAGGCTGGTCTCGAACCCCTGGGCTCAGGCAGTTCTCTCACCTCCACTTCCCAAAGTGCTGGGATTACAGGTGTGAGTCACCACACCTGGCCTTTTCCCCTTTCCTACACCTGTCTCCCTCTTGGTCCCTCTGGGACCCCACCACAGCCTCCCAACTGCCTCTGGAGGCTAGAGCTGTTTGGTTTACTTAACGACACAGTTCTCTTAGACTTGGACATGGACCTTTGAGAGAGGAAGTGGCTTGGGAGTGGGAACCCCTCTTGAAAGGTTGCCCTGGGGATGACAAGGGTATGTGCTGAGAATAGGAGGGGCATGTGGCAGGAAGCTTCCTTCAGGCTCAGGCATGCAGGCAGGTGCTAGGCCGGGGGGTGGGGAGAGGACAGGGACGCACAAGGCTCCATTCTGTCCACAAGGAGCTCCCAGACTCAGGAGGATGATAGCTCAGTGGCTGCCACAGGACTCAGATCCCAGGTGAGCACATTCACACCAGCCGCCCTCCCTGGGTACCAGCCTGCCCAGATGGGCGTGCCTGACCCCTGATGTGCATCCATATTCTCATGGATGCTCACCACCTTCACTGACCCTCCCACGACACGCCACTCTGTGCCTTGGCGCCTGCTTTCCTTCTCCTGGCATGCCCTCTTTCTTCCTCCGGGCCTCAGCGGCCCTTTCCCTGCTCCCTCAGGGTTTTGAGCACTTCCTGCCTTGTTTGGAGCCTGCTTGCCTGCCTCCAGATCCTCCCCTGGCGGCCTGGGGAGAGGAAGGCCAGCTACCAGAAGGCTCCACTGAACCGTACTGTGAATGTGTCCAGGTCCCAGGGCCAGGCAGCTTGGACCTCCCCCCCAACTGCTTGAGGGAAGGGGGCTGAATGCAGGGCTGGTTCACCCTGAACAATTCCCTCCCACTTGGCCTTTCGTGTGGGGCCTTCACCAGCCTGTTGGGGTCACTGCCATACACTTGGCCTTCTGGCTTCCCCAGGCTAGTGTCAGGCCCTTGGTGCTGCTTTGTTGGGTGGGATGGGAGGGCTGAGGGAGCCAGGAATACTGGCTTCTCTCAGAGCACTTTAGGCACCTCTCATCCCTGACACTGTCCCTTGCACTTGTGCTTGTGTGGTGGCCCCAATGTGAGTCACTATACAAAATGCTGCCTTTACTATTTTTAAGAAATGACTTATGTGATCTAAGAACTTATGAAATGGTCAATAACCAAAACATAGCACTGTTTTCAAAGAGGCACTATTGGTGGACCTCTCCTTGGTCTTGATGTACACTGGGTTCCCATGTGGCCAGATGCAGGCCTGACCCTACTTCCTCAAAGGAGACAGGAGAATCCTGTCCATTCAGCTTTTCCCACGAAGGTTCCAGATGCAAAGCCGGAAGGGCTGCCTCTCTCAGGTTTCAGTGTGCTTGTGTGTCAATCAGGCCCCGCCTGTGGATCACTTGGCCATCAGCACAGGGGCCTCAGGTCTGTGACACATTTTCCCAACTCTACTTACTCAGCACCTTATGCTTTTTGCCATATCCACATGTTACCTGAGAAATTAGTACTTCATATTTTTTCTTGAAATCTGCTGATTGTCTTTTTAGTTAAGACTGTTTCTAGAAGAGTTTTAAGTATACAGAAAAATTGGGCAGATGAGTAGCACAGAGTTCCCATACTACTCTCCGCCACCCCAGGGTTTCCCTATTAATGTCTTACATGAGTCATGTACACCTGACAAGATCAGTGAACCACTACTGGTACATTATTATTATCCATAGCCTATAATTTATTCAGATTTCTTTAGTTTATTACCTAATGTCCTTTTTCCATTCCAGGAACACATCTTATTTTTCTGAACAGACTTGCTATCACTACTATAAATGAAAAACTAGTATCTTCTATTACATTAAAATAAACCATTAAAATACTCACTGGTTTTGGTAATTACTTAAAATATATGCTGTCGATCCCAGGGAGATTTACACACACCTCTTCCCCCTTGACATTAACAGTGGCCAGGTAACCTGATGTGGCCAATGAATGTGAGCATGCATGGTTAAGTGTCACTTCCTGGCAGAAGTTTCAAGGAACAGCAAGATTTGCCCTGATCACTTCTCCCTCAGCCAGTAGACCACCACATGTCAGATGGGCTTGTTCCCATCAGCCCGAGTCCCAGCTGCTGGTCTGGTGGCTGATGGATGTGTCTGTCCTACAAGCAAATGAAACTTGCTGAGAGTCATCTGTTACTGCAGTTTAGCCTAACCAGCATGAGTATTTTGATACATCCCTAGGCCACCTAAAGTCATCTTAAGTTCCGTCAGTAATATATTAAACACTGACTTGGTGAGGTCACTGTTCCCACTTTAAACAAATGGAATTAAGGCTCTGGAGTGGTGATGCTTGTAAGACCCAGTAGGTTAAAGTTCACTGTCATGTGTTAAGAGCTTGTATGCAGGAGAGGTTTGGGAGGACTGTCACCTGGGGCATAGGAACAGCTAAGACATGCAAGATCTCCCTCGCAGTCATGGGGAGACGTAAGTGGGAGGAGCAGAATGCTGCCTTTTGTTTCTGGGGGAAGAATCAGGCCATGACACTCTACAGCAGCCTGCACCCAGTGGAGGGATAAGGCCTGGGAGACCACACGACAGGCCAAACCTGCCGAAGAAATTATTTCCAACGAAGTAATTGTTTTCCTTAATTGGGCCAAAGTCTGTGTGCATGCTTCTGTGCCCACCCAGCCACATGTCACTCCCATGGTGGCAATGAATCCTCTGCATCTTAAGGTTGTAAGGGCAAAGACCTTGTTCATTTTGTTCTCTATTGATCCTCTATGCCCGGCACAAAGTGAGGATCACTAAGTGTTGGATGGATGGGTGGACAGACAGACAGACGAGGATGCAAATCCAACCCCATTCCTACAATCTCTACCTTCTGGAGTTCCCAAAGGACATCTCTTCCCTCTGTTCTGTGACAGCTCTCCAGAGACTTGCAGACAGCATTCTCATCCCCCTGGGGTCTGCCCTGCTCTTGGGTTTTTCTAAGTGCCAGTTTGCAGAGGGTCTCTCTGCACCATGCTGGTCACTGCTGTAGACCCATTCCAGTAGTCTGGGTAAGTCTGGGAGAGCCAGAGCAGCAGAGTTTAGCACTGACAGATCTGAAGATAGTAATTCTCTATGGGTACTGTGCTTCCTTAGGGTTATTTGCTTTCAGTCTATAGCAGCTAAGCCCTGTCCCCAAGGATGATTTGCCACAGGTGAAGGAATAACCTGATGCAGGGCTCACAAGAGATCCCAGCTGACCTCCACCCAAGCAGTTTATACTGTTCCCCTGGCATTCCCTGACTAATCAGACCTAAACATTGATGTCTGCTGGTGGAACTGGACAAGTACAAGCACCAACACAATTTCATCAAGGCCTCTAGCTCCTGTTGTGGCAACTACTCTGGTATCCAGAGGTTATGAGTATCGGGAATGGCAGGCATGGTATGGCCAGACCAGAGCCAGCCTTGGGTCTTGAAACAGCACATGAGCCTACACTGTCCTCAGCAGCAGCCCTGGGCCCACCTTCCTTTTCTGTCCTTCTGACAGCACAGAAAGCTTTCTCTCCAAATGCTTCCTCATGGTGGGCTCGCATGGGACCTGCCGGGCATATTCCTCCCAACATAAGCATGCTCACTTCTCTGGTACCTTCTCACTGCTGCCCAGAACTCTGCAGGGTGACATTAGTGATTCATCAAGAATTTATCAATGGAGACTAAAACCAGTGGGTGAAAGTTTGATAAGAAACAGAATAGTACATAGTCTCAAAATATCCCTCCATAAATTATTTACAAAAAGAAAAACTTCACAATAAGAAAACTTTAACCAAGTAATAAAAGTTACCAGCAGCAACAAAAGGACAAACCAACATAATGTACCTCTCATGTGATGTACCTGGGAGACAGCATCACTCCTATGTTGTTCCAGCCAAAAATGTCAACCCTGAATCTAATCAAAGGGAAGCACTAGACAAGATAACTCCTCATTCTTCAAAAAGTCAAGATCAAGAAAGTCAAAGACTGAGGAACTGTTTCAGATTAAACAAGACCAGAGAGGCATGATGACTGGTAAAATTTGAACATGAACTGTGAGCTAGGACAATGGTATGTATCATTACTTTATTTCCTGCTCTTAATAAATATGGACTGTGGTTATGGAAGAGAAAGTCCTTATTCTTAGGATATGCATGCTGAAGTACTTATGGATAAAGGGATGGGATGTTTTTCTCAAACAGTTCAAAGAGAAATCTAAAAATGTATAAAGCAGATAATAAATAGAGCAAAGTAGTAACAGTTGGAGAATCTTGGTGTAGGATATTCAGGAGTTCTTTGTACTATTCTTGCAACTTTTCTCTAAGTGTGAAATTTTATCAAAAGTTTTTTTTAGCCAGGTGCGGTGGCTCACGCTTGTAATCTCAGCACTTTGGGAGGCCGAGGTGAGAGGACTTTCTGAGCCCATGGGTATGAGACCAGCATGGGCAACATGGCAAGACTTCGTCTCTACAATAAATCAAAAAATTAGCTGGGCATGGCGGCACATGTCTGTAGTTCCATCTACTTGGAAAGCTGAGGTAAAAGGATCACCTGAGCCTAGAGGTCGAGGCTGTGGTTAACCATGATCATGCACTGCACTCTAGCCTGGGCAACATAGTGAGGCTTCAACTAAAAAAAAAAAGTTGTTTTTTTTTTTGAAGAAGAGACACTTGAATGAATGTCACCTCATGAGTTATTTCCAGGTTAGCGTCTCCAGCAAAAGCAGTACACAGGCCTTCTTTGACCTCATCCCCATTAACGGTGTCCAGCAGGTCAGAGCTGGAGGCAGACTTCCCTCCAGGGAACAGACTTCCTTCTCTTCATCAACACCCAGAAGTTAAGATTATCCCACAAACTACAAATCGTACGGGCATCAACATCTAGCTCATAGTCCCCCTTTCTTCAGTGAGGACACCAGGGACTTTGTGGCAAGTCACTTGGCAAGATCAAAGTGTCCTCTCTCTCTGACTGTTTAGTAAATAAGGAGGTTTCTAGAACTAGAAGAAACCCAGCACAATTCCATTATCTTACGAGTGCTTACTGCCCAATAACCCTGCCAAGCAGAGAAAGCACAGCCCATGTCCTCATTCAACAGACACCACTTACCTATCAGGTACTGTGCTTGGCACTCTCTCATAAGACTCATTCGTGCTGGACAGGTCCCACTTTCGAGCATTTCCTAAGGACTCACAAACCTCTTGGTGTAGAGATATTTGGTTTTCAGTCAAGCTCTGGGAATGCATCCTTTACATTTAGTGAGATACACCTGCTGTCACCCAGGACAATACTGATTTGCCACCCTAGACTTTCCCTGTTGATACCAGCAGTCTCTGTGAATGACTGGAGAACAGGCTGCTTCCCCAGTAGGACAGAGATTGCTCAGAAGGGCCCAGTCATATGCTGTGGGCCAATCATTCCCAGAAATTTTTTTTTGAGTTGGAGTCTCACACTGTCACCCAGACGAGTGCAGTGGCCGCTCCCGGCCACTGCAGCCTCGACCTGCTGGGCTCCGGTGATCCTTCCGCCTCAGCCTTCCAAGTAGCTGGAATTACAGGCATGCGCTACCACGCCTGGCTGATTTTTTGATTTATTGTAGAGATGAGGTCTCGCTGCCCAGGCGGGTCTCGAACCCGTGGGCTTAGGCAATCCACTCACCTCAGCCTCCCAAAGGCGTGGGATTACAGGCTGAGCCACCAAGCTCAGCTCATTCCCAGAAATTAAGCCTCAAAGTGTCAACCCACCAAAAGCTAAAAATTATTCACAAAATCATTCTACCCTACAAGCACATTTTAGGAGTCCTTTTCTCAGAAAAAGACTTTTTTTCTGATGTGGAATCATATACTTGATTTTCACCAACAGCTTAGATAAAGAAAAACGAGGAATGCAGATTTCCTGCTCACACCTCTGCTGGAGGGAAACAAAAGTATGTTGCAAATGCCTACCACTAGGCCGGGCACAATGGCTCACGCCTGTAATCCCAGCACTTTGGGAGGCCGAGGTAGAAGGACTGCTTGAGCCCAAGAGTTCCAGACCAGCCTGGACAACATAGCGAGATCTCACCTCCAAAACAAAACAAAAACAGAAAAACAAATGTCCTCCACTCAGCATCAGAGTCAAATGGAGAAAAAGCAGAGAAGAACATGGCAAACACATGGCCTTGCCACAGGAGTGGCTCTGATGACAGCATTCCAGAACTCCAAGACAAGGACCACTTGTCCCAAAGCTCATCCAAGACACATAGCCAGCATGACTCCCCAACAGATGGCCCAGCTGCTATATAAACTTCCTCCCCTCATTTTCAGAGAGCTGAGCTCTCCTCTCCTTTCCTTCACTGATCTGGCCTCCCAGGAGCACCACGGATCTCAGCTGCTCCCACTGCCACAGAGCCTCCAAGATCCAAGAGAGTGCTAGCCATGTACTAAGCTCCTGCGGCTGCACTCCTCTCTCGAGCACCCCTCTGGACACTGGCTTATCTCCCCAGTGGCACACACGGTTGGGTGGCAGTTGGCATCTTTCTAGTATACCTCCCTCTAGTATACCTCCTGAACTAAAGGATGGAGACTGACACCTACTTCTAAGACTCCCTTGCTGCTGGGATTCTAGGCACAGATCAAGCTCCTATACACATACTCACAGAAGCAAGCAAGATGGAAGCCAGCATCCTGATTTGTCGGCTGTGCTGACAAGCAAGGGGGTGGGAATGTTGGTACTGAGAGCACAGTTGCTGTACTCAGCATTCCAGTGTCAAGGCTCCAGCTTTATGAACTGGAGAAGCAACTGTGAGGCAGAAGTGGCTTCCAGATATCCAGACAGCAACCCCAGCGGTGTGTTCTTGACTTTAGCAGTTCCAGCGGCAACCTCCTGATTGCCAGTCCTCCAGCCCTTCTAACAATATCATGGCAATTTATTCAGATATTAAACTCCTTTCTTCTTAAAATACCTAGAGCAATTGGTTTTCTATACCGAACCCTGACTGGTTCATCCTCCCAGAAGCATGGCTTCCAGAGCTGACCCCTGTCCTCTATGTGGCCCCAGCCAAGCAGAGAAACTGGAGTCATCTCTTCTGACTTGGCTCCATCCTGTTACAGCAGGCTTAAAATTAGCTGGTGTTGGCAATCCCATTGCCCTGGTGACCCACACTTAGCTACTGATAAAGCCTGCAGCCTCCTCTTCCAGCTCTGCTAGGTCAGATCCTTCTCCTCACCAAGTATACCACAGGCCCTTCCAGACCTAAGCACACCACTTCATATTTCTCTTTGGAAACTCATCCATTAGATTTGACATAGGGCTCAGCCTGGCAAGATCTTTTGACTCCAGCTTCACCAGGCCCCACCCTCCCAAATCCCCACACGTATGAACCAACATGAGAAACACCTGCCATTTACAATCACAGCAACACCAAAGGAGGGCAATGAGTCTACTCTGTCTGTCACTTTATATTTCTGTATAAGACAAGCACAACGGGGATGCAGGCTTCTGGCTTCATACCTGTGCCAAAACAAGGCTTCTTTTTTTCCCTTTAAAAAAATAAACATGGAAATGAATAGAACCAGCAGCTATGATGTGGCCAAAATGTGCTGTCTGGAAAACTGACATCTAATCTAGGTAAGTCTCCTCCGTTTTGACTGGCGGTCTGAGGTCTGGGCTGGAGGCAGTGGGATGGACAGAGTGCCCAGTTTGTGATCCTCTTCCTGGCCGGTGGCCAGAGACACCCTTCTTTTGGAGATCTTCAGCCTCATGGCTTTTGCCATCTCAATCATCCTAAGGAAGACACAGAAAGAAAGACACAGAAATGGAAAGACCCTTCAGTGTGCCTGTCCAGGAGGTTTGGCAGGAAGGAGCAGCCCATTCATGCTCCAGGTCATGAAAACAGAATCCCAGCCAGGCAAGAAGGTTCACTACCTGTAATCCCAGCACTTTGAGAGACAGAGGCGAGAGGACTGCCTGGGTCCAGGGGTTCGAGACCAGCCTGGGCAACTTGACGAGATCTCGCCTCTGCAATAAATAAAAAAATTAGCCGAGCATGGTGGTGTGCGCCTGTAGTTGGTACTCGGAAGGTTGAGGTGGAGGGATCACCTGATCCTAGCAGGTTGAGGCTGCAGTGGCCGGGAGCGTGCCACTGCATTCCAGCCTACGCGACAGAGTGAGACTCCAATTCAAAAAAAAAAAACAATCCCAAAAGAGGCTGACAGGGGCAGGCAAGCAAAGGGGCAGGCAAGATCCTCCTCACCCCTTGGAGCCATCAGACAGACAATTTCATTCATGTGTTGCAGTTAGAAAATATCCATATAGGATATAGGTGATGGAAAACCAGGGTATCTAAGTCCCCTTGAATAAGCTTCTTTACTTCCTATAACCAAATGATAAAAGCAGCCAGGATTGAGCACTCACTAGAATTTAACAGGTTCCAAGTACCTGTTCTCATTTTTCACCTTTACAGCATGTGGGAGCGCTGTTTGTGGACAGCCCTTAGAATTGTCCCTCCGTGGCCTGCTAGAAGAGTCTAGACAGAGCTGTCTTCACAGGCTTTCCTGGAACACGATCTGGGTCCTTAGACAAAGGCCAACTGACCCACAATTCAGGCTCCTGGAAGCTCTGCTTCCTCCTGTCTGAATCTCCTCTACAAGGCTAAAGGGAGCCTGAAAGTTCATTTGTACCAACTCTGCCAATCAGGCAGAGCACAACATCCCTTCCAAGCAGCAACCCTGCCTTGCCTTGAACGCCTCCCTGGCAGAACCTTCCATCTGCCTCTGAGAAAGCTCCTCGTACTAGGCTTATTAAGCCGGGCTTTCTACAGCTTCCATCCTAGGATGCAGCCCTCAGAATCATACAGAATCTCTCTCCCAAGTGACAGCCATTCAGAGAACAGAGGCTGTTGGGTTATTCAGGAACAGAATGCTAAGGAAAGGTTTGGGTTGGAAGCTCAACCACACCCCTCTTGGTTGTATGACCCAGAAAAATTCATTTACTTTTCTGAACCTGATTCTTTAATTGTTTAGTGAAATCAATGAGATGGCCCCCAAATTTCCCATATTAAACATTTCCAGTCCCCTTGATGGTGCCTCAGGCTTTCCAGTTGTACTAGAAATACATCCGGGCACCCTATAGGGAGCTTATTAATCTGTTGTGCTCACCTTTTCTCACTGAGCTTCAAGTCTTTCTGTAACACTGTCAGGTCAATCTGGAAGTTGTTTATGTGCAAGGCTAGTATGATCACATATGCAGTAATCTTCGCTCTCATAGAATTCGAAATTAAGTTCCGTAACCTACAAAATCAGTGGCAGTAAAACGAGAAAATTTAACTCGTAAGACAATTTCTCCAAAAGCATAAGAACATCCCAGCCTGTTCCCATACTCACTCAGTGCCTTCTCAATGTGAGGAAAGGAAAAGGAATTTGGGCAACATTCTCCATCCCTTCCCAGATGCCCAAGCTGCATGCACAGTGGAGCAGCGTGCTAATCCCAGTTTCCCTGGGTGTGCTAGAGGAAGCTGTGCCCACGCTCTTCTCAGGCAACGCTAGAGCCTCGGCTGGTGCGGGCCCTGAATCTACCCCTGCCTGGTCAGCAGGGCCTTCAGGAAAACAGCCCAAACTCAGTTGCTGACGATTCTTCCAAGCACACCCAGGAACAGGAAGCACACTCCAAGCAAAGAGCAAAAAGGAAGCCCAGGGGCGCTGCTTGGGGGGGTAGGGGGGGAGGTCTTTTCCCAAAGTCAACACGTTGGCCTGCCCTTTTCTAACCACTGCCTTCCGTAGGACACTCGTTCTACTGGATATCAGGAAGGGCCCTTGAAAGAAGTGTGTGAAGTCAAAAAAGTCTACTGCAGAGCCTCCAATATTCCCACAGGAGAATGCAAACTTTTCCAAAGAGAAATGGTATGTAATATATAATGTTTCCTAAACTTACTGGACCGCAGAAGCCCTCCAAATGGCAACAATTTCTTCAGCACTACATCTCTGTGGACACGGAATTGAATCCAAGACCCCGCCCCTCATTCCCACCCCCACTTGCTTTCTCCTTCACAGGAAAAAAAAAAATCACACCCTGACCTGCCATTGTTATAAGTCAAGCAGGTGAAGTGCTTCAGCAGTTTGGTGTTGATGATGTGTGGAACTCCAGGTCCCAGGGCACCTACAACACAAAGCTGAGTTTGATCATTTTTTTTCAATATTCTTAGGCCATGCCTCAAACATGGGCCAAGAAAAGCTATCAGCTGGGCTACTGTCATGACCAGAACCACAGAGGTGCTTCAGCCTGCAGATCACTCAGCTCTGTGCTGGAGCAGTGACAAGAAAGAAAAACAGACTCACATGAGGCCTATGGACACCAAGGTAAAAAGATGTTAGAAATAAGTACGCAGAAAGCCCAGTGTGAGACAGAGTAAGACGGAAATGTGAATAAAAGAACTAAGCAAATATAGTCAAGGACTGCATAATGGCATTTCAATCCATGACAGCCCGCATATATGATGGTCTGGTAAGATTATAATACTGTATTCTTAGTGTACCTTTTCTATGTTTAGATACACAAATACTAACCATTACACAACACATAAACTATCTAGGTTTGTGTAAGTATACTCTGTGATATTCACACAATGACAGAATTGCCTACCGATGCATTTCTGAGAACACATCCCTGTCATTAAGCAACATATGACTATATTGAAGGCCAGGCGCGGTGGCTCATGCCTGTAATCCCAGCACTTTAGGAGGCAGAGGCTAGAAGACTGCCTGAGCTCAGGTGTTTGCGACCAGCCTGGACAACATGGTGAGGCCCTGACTCTTCAATAAATTAAAAAAAAATTAGCTGGGAGTGGTGGCTCACAAGTAGTCATGACTACCAGGAAGGCTGAGGGGGAAGAAGGATTGCCTGAGCCCAGCAAATCAAGGCTGCAGTGGCCGTGATCATGCCACTGCACTCCATCTTGAGTGACAGAGTGAGACTTCAACTAAAAAAAAAAGAACAAAAAGAAAAAAGACACATGAATATAGACTCTTGGGCACCCAATCACATTAACGATGACTGAATATACCTTGTGTCTAAAGCCACTGCTGTTTGCTGCTGGGTTTTCAACCCCGGGTGGAAGTCAGTGTGTGACAGCCACAAATGATCCTAGCTACAGGCAACACTGGGGTTACCATTAGAAACAGACTCCCCACCGGGCTCCGTGGCTCAGCCTGTAATCCCGCACCTTTGGGAGGCCGAGGTGAGTGGATTGCCTGAGTCCGCGGGTTCGAGACCCGCCTGGGCAACTTGGCGAGACCTCATCTCTACAATAAATAAAAAAATTAGCCGGGCGTGGTAGCACGCACCTGTAGTTCCAGCTACTTGGAAGGCTGAGGCGGAAGATCGCCAGAGCCCAGCAGGTCGAGGCTGCAGTGACCGAGAGTGGCCACTGCACTCCAGTCTGGGTGACAGAGTGAGACTCCAACTCAAACAAAAAAAGAAAGAAAGAAACAGACTCCCCTGTTAGTCATAAATAAGCCAACATAACATAGAACTGCAACAAGCCTTCATGAGCAACACGCATACAAACATACATACCTACATACATACATACATATATATAGAGAGAGAGAGAGAGAGAGAGCGTGCTGATGTTTGTTCTAACAGTCCCTTGATATTTTCATTTGATTTGACCTGGATACTACACTTTGCCTAATGCAGAACAGAGGTAGTGAATGTTAGCTCTGGAAGGGCCCTAAGCAATCAGAGTATCCAACCTGTCTCCATTTTCAGATGAAGAAAGAGGTCCAGAGAGGGAACTTGGCGAGTCCCCTCAATGTGTCAGCAGTACCAACAGGAATCTCAACTGCTGCACAGTTAAAAATTAAGATTTATCCATTTTCTTCTCTCATCAAAGCTGATCTAAGAATTACAGATAAATCATAGCCTGGATATAATTAGAATAAAATATCTATCATGGGCTTACTTTTCCGTGTAACTACTCTCTGAGCTCGAAATTTGATGAGGGTGTCCAGAAACCATATGCATCGGGCCTGGCGGTCTCGGCTCTCTTCATTTGATGGCAAAGACTTCAAGGCTTCTATGACAAAAGAGCAGTGGCTAAAACGAGGAAAAGGGAAGAATGCATCAGTAAGATGGGTTCTGTCAGGAACCATTCCCCTCACAATGAGAACAGCAGGCACCTCTTACCCTTACACATACCACAGCCAACAGAGGGCCATTGCACTCAACACTCCTTTGTAACAGGAGCAAAGCTTAGCACAGGGCTAACAGCAAAGGGCTACATGGTAAATACTTTAGGCTTTGTAAGCCATATAACCTCTTTTTTTTTTTTTTTTTTTTTTTTGAGTAGGAGTCTCGCTCTGTTACCCAGGCTGGAGTGCAGTGCCACGCTCATGGCCACCGCAGCCTCGACCTGCTGGGCTCAGGTGATCCTTCCACCTCAGCCTTCCAAATAGCTGGAACCACAGATACGCGCAACTATGCCCAGCTCATTTTTTGATTTACTGTAGAGACGAGGTCTGTCCAAGTTGCCCAGGCTGGTCTCAAACCCCTAGACTCAAGCAATCCTCTTGCCTCTGCCTCCCAAAGTGCTAGGATTACAGGCATGAGCCACCACACCCAGCTATAACCTCTCTTTCAATTACTCAACTCTGCTGTTTAGTACAAAAGTGGCCATAGGTGTTATTTGAGTAAGGAAACAAAGTTGTATCCCATAAAAATTTAATTTTATTTTGTTTATTCACAAACAGTAAGTCTGACTTGGCATGTGGGCCATAGTTTGCTGACCTCTGGTTTAATGGTCATGAGTATAGGTTCTGAAGTCAGACTGCCTGGGTTTGAATCCCTTCCCATGTTCCAATGCTGACCAGATATACGAGGGGGGACCAAAAAAAACTAGAATTTATTTATAAAAAATTGTGTATCTGTTTTTACATGTTTAAACTTCAGTCACTTTCAAAGCATTCTCCGTTTGATGCAATAAACCTATTGTGCTTTTTCCACTGCTCAAAACAGTTTCTGAATTATCAATTTTGATGCCTTTGAGTGCTTCTGCCATTTTTTTGTTTCACCTCTTCCACACTGGCAAAATGTTTCTCTTTGAGGACTTTTTTCATCCAGGGAAACAAGAAAAAAAATCGCTTGGGGCAAGACTGGGTAAAAAGGGAGGGTGGAGCATGGGCCTCATGCCATCTTTGGTCAAAAACGGCTGAACACTCAGCATGGTGTGGGCAGGTGTGTTGTCATGGAAGAAGAATCAGTCACCTGTTTGCCACAACTCAGAATGTTTCTCCCGCAAATCGTGATGGAACCTTCTCAAAACTTCCAGAAAAAAACTGGTTGACCATTTGATCTGGAGGAACAAATTCTGAGTATACTACAAGGAATTCACCCTCCAAAAGATAATTCCAGAGTTTTTTGAGTCCCCCCTCGTACTTCCACTGATTGACACCCACAGGCCCTGCTTTGTGTCTAACTATGATAAGTGTCCCAACATCAGTCCCCAGACTCCCCCTCTGCCCAAATGGGGGAACCTGTTCTCTTCAATCATTTTCAGTATTTCTTCTGATGTGACGTTCCTGAAAGCTTCAGAGGGGCTCCAAAGAGCCTCATACTCCACAGGGGAAAGAACTAGTTATAAGTCAAGAACACAATCCAGCCAAAATGGAAACATCCAACTAGCTAGATCATCTCATAGTGGCCTCATTTTACAGAGAGGCAAATTGAGGCTCAGAGCGGAAGACCACACAGGGCAGAGCTCAGGGACTCAGTTCTCAGATTCCCAGCCTAGAGCTTGTTCCCTGCCTGGGCTTTTCTGCCTTCTCTTTCTTATCACAAACCATTACAGACATTTGCCATATGATCAGACCCAACAAGTAGTTCCAACCCTTCCTTTTGCAGAAGTGGTCTGGCCCAGACTTTGAGCATTTGGCTGATTCAAAAGTTGTATTTTGACTGTTCATGGAGAATGGCCGCACAGGTCTGAGCTGTGGACTTTTTACACTCTGTGAAGTAATGTATTTGAATCCCAGGAGTGGGTCCCTCAGCTACTGAGGATATCTAGGTGACCTTCTGGCAACAGCACTGAGCAACTGCAAACAGAACCACGGATACCCTCAGAGAGCCTGGCTGTGCCATTCACACACAAACATCCCAACTTGTAAAATAAGGCAGTTTTTCTACTGCAAGGATACGATCTTCAAATTTATACACGTCTTCAGGCTTGGCTCCATCAGCATAGCAGGGAGGAAGGTAGAGGGAGTCATCTTGCAAGTCACTTTGGATGGCACCATTGACCAGAGCTTTTAAATAAAGGAAAAATCAGTGTATCACCCTGTTTGTTTAGGTTTCCCAACACTCTTTGCTTGCACTCTTTGCACTTGAGATCAAAACTGATCCAGAAACCCCGAGTCTGAATGCTTCTGCCAAAGTGACTCAATATCCACATCCAGCTGCCTGCTCCAGGACTACTATGTTCACTAATGAAGCAGAGAGTAGTCAGGCACCAAAGAAGGTGATTTAGCATGGCTCCCCTCAAGTAACCTGCAATGGAGTTGGAGGAGATATGTGCTAATAAACACAACAGAATACGAGAGAAGCTAAAAGTGAGGAATATTGGCCAGGCACGGTAGTTCATGCCTCTAAGTCCAGCACTTTGGGAGGCAGAGGCAAGAGGATTGCCTGAGTCCACGGGTTCAAGACCAGCCTCTTGAACTTGGCAAGACCTCATCTCTACAATAAGTCAAAAAACTAGCCTGGCATGGGGGCACGTGCCTGTAGTTCCAGATACTTAGAAGGCTAAGGCAGAAGGATCGCCTGAGCCCAGCAGGTTGAAGCTGCGGTGACTGTGAGCAGCGTGCCACTGCACTCCAAGCCTAGGTGACAGAGTGAGACTCCAACTTAAAAAAAAAAAAAATGAGGATATTCAAAATAGCCTTTAGTGGCTTAACTTCTGGAAAATTTCACCACATATTGTGAGTGGAAAAAAAATTCAGATTATAAGACTGTAACTGTCCTACAAGAATTACTGTGTAGGAATTAAGCATACACATACATAAGGATGGTGAAGAAGATATGAAAATTCTAATAATAGTTGATCTGGTAAAATGATTGGAATATGGTTGAATTATTTTTCTTTCTAAATGTCAACTTTAATACCTGAGCACAATGTTTTTTTTGAGTCAGATCTACTCTTGCCCAGGCTAGAGTGCAATGGCACCATCATGGCTCATTGCAGCCTCGACCTCCTGGGCACAGGTGATCCTTCCACCTCACCTACCCGCAAGTAGCTTAGACTATAGGTGCATGCCACCATGCCCGGCTAATCTTTTTTATTTTTATTATTTTATTTTTGTAGAGACAAGATATCACCATATTGCCTAGACTGGTCTCGAACACCTGGACTCAAGCAATTATCTCGCCTGGGCCTGTAATCCTGGGATTACAGGCATGAGCCACCACATCCAGCCTCTGAGCACAAACTTAACAAAAATTACTTTGATTTTGTTAGACATTGAAGTATGTCTTTGAATAAATGAAGAGACCTACTTCTATATTCCTGCATAGGAAAACACAAAATTGTAAAGATCTGATGCTTCCAAATCCCAACTGGATTTTTGAGGGAACTTGACAAAATAATTCTTAAGATCACCTGGAAGAAAAAACATGCTACAACAGCCATTTTTTAAAAATATAAATGAAGGTGAAGGGTGGATTTGCCCTATCAGACAATGATAAGGCTACTATAATCAGACAGAATCAGGCACATTCAGGGTGGTATGGCCATAGATAGGCTACTATAATCAAAAGAGCTTGGTGTTGCTACAGGAATAGTCAGTCAGACAATGGAACAGAGTGTGACTAAGTGCTTTAAGAATGCAATAAAATGATAAAGATGATTTTATTTCTAAATGTCCTTTAATACCTGAGTACAAACTTTTGGTGTTTTTTTTTTTGAGTTGGAGTCTCACTCTGTCTCCCAGGCTGGAGGGCAGTGGCCATTCCCGGCCACTGCAGCCTCGACCTGCTGGGCTCCGGCGATCCTTCTGTCTCAGCCTTCCAAGTAGCTGGAACTACAGGAGCGCGCTACCACACCCAGCTAATTTTTTGATTTATTGTAGAGATGAGGTCTCGCCAAGTTTCCCAGGCGGGTCTCAAACTCGCAGGCTCCGGCAATCCACTCACCTTAGCCTCCCAAGGTGCAGGATTACAGACCAAGCCACCGAGCCCGGCTCAAACTTTTTTATTTTTATTTTTTGAGTTGGGTTCATTCTGTCTCCCAGGCTGGAATGCAATGGCATGATCACAGCTCGCTGCAGCCTCGACCTCCTTGTCTCAGATGATCCTTCGCCTTATCTCCCGCCTACCCCAGTAGCTTGGACTACAGGCATGTGCAAACACACCTGGTTAATTTTTTTTTTTGGTAAAGATGAGGTTTTACTATAACTGGTCTCAAACTCCTGGGCTCAGGAATAAAATCACCTTTTATGAAAGGAAAGGACAGAGTTAGAAACAACTGGCTAATCATTTGGAAAATATAAAATCAGATCTGTACCATATGTCCCGAAAACACTTCATTGGCTTAAGATTTAAATGTCCAAAATAAAACTGTGGAAGTGTTGACAGAAAACATAAGAAAATATTTATGTAATCACAGGGTGTGGAAAGATTTTCTAAAAATGACTAGAATTCTCTGCTAAGAACAGTAGCTCAGCCGGGTTCAGTGGCTCAGCCTTTAATCCCGCGCCTTTGGGAGGCTGAGGTGAGTGGATTGCCTGAGCCCGCGGATTCGAGACCCGCCTGGGCAGCGAGACCTCATCTCTACAATAAATCAAAAAATCAGCCAGGCGTGGTAGTGCACGCCTGTAGTTCCAGCTACTTGGAAGGCTGAGGTGGAAGGATCGCTGGAGCCCAGCAGGTCGAGGCTGTGGTGGCCGGGAGCGGCCATTGCACTCCAGTCTGGGCAACAGAGTGAGATTCCAACTCAAAAAAAGAATAGTGGCTCATGCCTGTAATCCCAGAACTTAGGGAGGTCAAGGCAAGAGGACGACTAGAGGCCAGCGTGAGCAAGTAATAACACTTTGTCTTTAAAAACAAACAAACAAGCCGGGCTCGGTGGCTCAGCCTGTAATCTCATGCCTTGGGAGGCTGAGGTGAGTGAATTGCCTGAGCCCCTGGGTTTGAGACCCGCCTGGGCAACTTGGTGGGACCTCATCTCTACAATAAACAAAAAAGTCAACTGGGTATGGTAGCGCACGCCTGTAGTTTCAGCTACTTGGAAGGCTGAGGCAGAAGGATCACCGGAACCCAGCAGGTCGAGGCTGCAGTACCGGGAGTGTGCCACTGCACTCCAGTCTGGGCGAGAGTGAGACTCCAACTCAAAATAAATAAATAAATAAATAAATAAATAAAACTGGGCTCGGTGGCTCAGCCTGTAGTCCCTCACTTGGGGAGGCTGAGGTGAGTGGATTGCCTGAGCCCGCGGGTTCAAGACCCGCCTGGGCAACTTGGCGAGACCTTATCTCTATAATAAATCAAAAATTAGCTGGGCATGGTAGTGCACGCCTGTAGTTCCAGCTACTTGGAAGGCTGAGGCGGAAGGATCGCCTGAGCCCAGCAGGTCGAGGCTGCGGTGGCCGGGAGTGTGCCTCCAACTCAAAAAAACAAAAACAAAAACAAACAAAAAACAAACAAACAAACAAAAAACAGGCCAGGCGTGGTGGCTTACATCTGTAATCCCAGTGCTTTGGGAGGCAGAGGCAAGAGGATTGCCTGAGCCCTGGGATTGAAGACCAGCTTGGATAACTTGGCCAGACCTTGTCTCTACAATAAATAATAAAATAGCTGGGCGTGGTGGTCTATGCCTGTAGTTACAGCTACTTAGAAGGCTGAGACAGAAGGATCACCTGAGCTTAGCAGGTCAAGGCTGCAGTGGCCATGAGCGTGCCACTGCACTCCAGCCTGGGTGATAGAATGAGACTCCGATCAAAAAAAAAAAAAAACCCAACAAAACTAGAACTCCATTCTTAGTAGAAAAACTGCTCTTATATATACTTTCTCTTATGTTCTTATAATATATTCGAACAACAAATACTTTTTTTAGTACTATTTTTTTTTTTTTAGAAACAGGATCTCACTCTGTTCCCCAGGTTAAAGTGCAGTGGCAAAATTATAGCCCTCAAACTCCTGGATGCAAGTGATTCTCCCACTTCAGCCTTCCAAGTAGCTAGGACTACAGGTGCATGCCACCGTGGCAGGCTAAATTTTGTTTTATTTTGGTAGAAATGGGGTCTCATCATGTTGCCCATGCTGGTGTTGGACTCCAGGGCTCAAGTGATACTCCTGCCTCAGCCTCTCAAAATGCTGAGATTACAGGCATGAGTTAACACGCCTGGCCAATAAACACATTTTCTAATAATACAATTAAATACTCAAGCTGCTGAGAAGAGAAAAAGATCCACTGACCCCAAAGTGCAATGCCATCTCTGGAGGCTTGGTTTCATTATCACTACAGCAGCCTTCTTTGACCAAAGGCTCCCTGCAACTCATAGAGACTTGAGGCCTTGTCCTTCCCCTGTGTCCTACAGGCTGTAACTAGCACCAAGAACACAGCATGCATACATCTGTTCCCTATCTGTGTCTTCTACTTGACTATAAGCTCAAAGGGCAAAACCATGTCAGATAATTCTTACTACCTCCAGAGTCTGTCCCTGAGAAGTCCCTGCAAGAGCAGGAAGGAATCCAGCCCTAACTCCAATAATTCCATCTGTGGGGTGGGTAAAAGATCTCGAGAAGAGAATGTAATTATGGGCAGGCTCTTACCACAAGTTGCAACTGCTTACCAGTCACGCCTTTCTTATCAATAATATTCTCTGCAGCCTTAGCTACTGCATGACTCAAAGATTCACCCCCAACTTTGTTCATTCTCCTAGAGTTCAGAGCTCGCTTCTGTTTGGTGGTACCAAAGGCTTCAATACAAGAATCCATCTGTGCAAGAGACAAAACTGGTTACTGGCGACAGGACAGGTGGGCGCTGCTACTCCTAGTTATGTCACTACAGGGAAACTCTCAGCACTCCTGAGCCATCATCACCTCACCTGTAAATAAGGCTGAAATATCTATCTACCTCATAGGACTCTTGTAACACCTCACCTGTAAATAAGGCTGAAATATCTATCTACCTCATAGGACTCTTGTAAGCAGCAAATGATATTAACAGATTTAAAGAACTTTATAAACTGTAAAGGGCTATTTACAAATCGATAGAACCTCCATCGATAAAATGAAAAGACTTGACTAGAATTAGGGGCAGTAGATCTGTAGCACACGACTCACCATTCTCCCATCCTACATCTGTAGTAGACACTGCTAATAGATCACTCACTCACTCCTGCACCCTGAGTCAGAAGGGAGCCTCAGTCCCTTATCAGTACAGTGCTCCAGACAGACCAGACAGTCAATTTGCCATCCTGGAGTGAGATGACATTTGTAGGAACCTTCTACACAGAAAATCCTAAGGTTTACTTTGTTTTAATGTGAAAGTTTTCAGGCTACAACTAATGTTTTCTGAAACTTGAACTAAATCCTAAAAACAACTACAAACTGACCAGAGAAACACAGAGTGAATGAACTGGGAAGAGCCAGGGAGACACTTAACTTTGACAACTCATTTTACTGATGGAGAAACCCATGGTCTTGAAAGAACTTGCTTAATGTCCAACTTCTTAATTCTGTAACACTCACCTTTTCTCTGTATGTTTTGGTCTGACTTTCTAGTGTCAGTTCACTCTCAACTGATTGATCTATCAAAACACACAAGAACAAAAAGAAAAAAGTCAACTGTAAGGCCTACAAATAGCAACAGTATTTAATATGTATTGCTTAAGTTTATCTAATAATAACAGATTTCTTTACTATAAGACTTCCCTGCTTAGAACATTTAATATGTCGCGCTTAGGGTCAGGCGCGGTCGCTCACACCTGTGATCAGAGCACTTTGGGAGGCAGAGGTGAGAGGATTCCCCGAGCCCAGGGGTTCGAGACCAGCTTGGGCAAGTTGACGAGACCTCATCTCTACAATAAATCAAGAAAAATTAGCCAGGTATGGTGGCGCATGCCTGTAGTTCCAGCTACCTGGAAGGCTGAGGCAGAAGGATCGCCTGAGTCCAGCAGGTCAAGGCTGCAGTGGCTGTGAGCATGCCAATGCACTCCAGCCTGGGTGACACAGTGAGATTATGACTAAAAAAAACAAAACAAAAAAACTATAGCTTTAGTATACAGTTAAAGAATTTAGAGAATAAATTAGAGAGTCAAATAAAGGGGTCATCCAGTTCAGCCTCTTCATTTTACAAATAAGGAAAAATGAGGCCCCTAGATGTCCAGGTCAGTTCACCAGGCAGTAGCAGAGACTGGATTAGAAAACAAGTCCTCGACTCTTTCCAGTAATATTTTGCTTTCCTGGTAAAAGACCTAAAAGCAGGCATAAGCATGAGGTGTGTATTACCTACAGGATGCTCTTTTACAAAGTACTCAAATAGAGCCGGGCTCGGTGGCTCAGCCTATAATCCCGCGCCTTTGGGAGGCTGAGGTGAGTGGATTGTCTGAGCCCGCAGGTTCGAGACTCGCCTGGGCAGCGAGACCTCATCTCTACAATAAATCAAAAAATCAGCCGGGCGTGGTAGCATGCCTGTAATTCCGGCTACTTGGAAGGCTGAGGCGGAAGGATCCCCGGAGCCCAGCAGGTCGAGGCTGTGGTGGCCGGGAGCGGCCACTGCACTCCAGTCTGAGTGACAGAGTGAGACTCCAACTCAAAAAAAAAAAAAATAACAAAGTACTCAAATAAGGGACAGTTTAATCTAGTGGACAAGAGCACAAGTTCTGGGGGGCCCTGCCAGCGTTACTTCAGATGTCCACCTCCACCGCAGTCATCTAGCCTCTGTGCCACAGTTCTGTCATCAGTAAAAAAAAAAAAGTAACAGTACAAAGAGTGCAATAGTGACTAGCACAGAGTAAGGACCTAACATAAATGTTGTGTTTGTATGTTTGTATGTGTGTGAGGAGTATGCGCTCACTAGAATAAACCACTATTTACAAATGGTTTCATATAAAACAAAAATGTGTTCACCAACAAGTTAATAAACAATTTTCCTTGCCTCCTTGGATTTTAGAAGAACATGTGGAGAATGATTTAAATACCGTTATATTAGTTTACAAAGCAAGGAATTCTTTACCTAGAGCTATGGACACTCAGGAAGTTCACAGATGGGCGTGAGGACTTCACACAGCCACTGCAGCCTTGACCCGCTAGGCTCACATGATCTTTCTGCCTCAGTCTTCCAAGTAGCTGGAACTACAGGCACGCATCACCACACCCAGCTAATTTTTTATTTATTGTAGAAATGAGGTCTCACCAAGTTGCCCAGGCTGGATTCAAACCCATGGGCTCAGGCAAACCTCTCACCTCTGCCTGCCAAAGTGCTGAGATTATATGCATGAGTCACTGTGCCTGTCTAAAAATAATATTTTCTCAACATGAACAAAGCAGAAAAAATAAACAATAAGTAAAAATACCTACAAAATGCATTTTACAAATCTAAAACTCAAACCAACTCATCCAGTGAATCCAAAATATGCAGTGTTTCTGTCAGCTTTCATGACTGGGACCTACCTGAAAATAGTGGTTGCAAGTTGAACAATTCAGCATCATATACTTCCATTTGGCCAGAGGTCTTGTTTAAAATTCCCACAAAATGCCTAAAGAAAGAATACAAGTGATGATGAATTATTTAAAAGGCATTGTTTACACAATTTCTTTTTCCTGCTTAAAAGTTAACGTTCTTGCAGCTCCAACACACCTGAGGAATATATCACTTGCTCACGGGTACAGCAGCAATTCAGTGCATGAAGAAGGGAGGGGAGGAGACACCAGGTGGTTCTGAAAAAAGGCTAACAGGTGATTCTGCTAGCTGATCATATTTGAACTCACTGCCGTACTGTAATGGGAAAAACTTTTGCATGTAAGAATCTAGAATTAGCCGGGCTCGGTGGCTCAGCCTGTAATCCCGCGCCTTTGGGAGGCTGAGGTGAGTGGATTGCCTGAGCCCGCGGGTTTGAGACCTGCCTGGGCAGGCAAGACCTCATCTCTACAATAAAATCAAAAAATTAGCTGGGTGTGGTAGCGCGCGCCTATAATTCTGGCTACTAGGAAGGCTGAGGCGGAAGGATCGCCGGAGTTCAGCAGGTCGAGGCTGCGGTGGCCGGGAGTGGCCACTGCACTCCAGTCTGGGTGACAGAGTAAGACTCCAACTCAAAAAAAAAGAAAAAAGAATCCAGAATTACACTAGAACTTACTACACACATAAATCATATGGAGGCAAATCCAAGTAAATGTAAAGAAGACCAATCTAAACTACAGCATCTTTGCAAGGGGAGGATGCAGTGTTCATAGTTCTCAGCACACATACACCAATCCGACTTCTATCAGGGCATGGACCTGCAAAGGTTCTGAAAGGGCCTGGTTTGCAGTTCACTGTTGGGTACCAACATAGGGACCCTTTCTGTAACATGCCAGCTCCTTTATAGACAGTTCAGGATGGACAATCTTCACTATACAGTGGAAGAAACGGAGCCAGTGATGGGCAAAGTTGCTTGAAGTCACTCAACAGCATAGTTGAATGGGAATCCCAGGCTTCCCTCTCAGCCCAGAGCCTCTGACATTACCAAACTATTTTCTTGTAGTTAGTTCCAAGGCAAACATTAGACATGCTTTCACCTACTGTTCACGCATTCCAAATTAGTGAAGAGAGCTGCCTTTTGTAATAAGACAGTTATAAATGAAGAAGATTACAAACAAATAGGATGTTTAGGAAATTCAACAAATATAAGTCATCTTTCCCTTCCAGGAATGTCTAAAGGGTGGGATGAAGGCTCCTGGCTCTAAAAACGCATGGACCTAGTAAACCTCCCTAGATTTCTCCCACTGCCCCTAAAATAGACTGAAAACAGTAGTGCCAGTGCTGCCACTGCTCCCTTCTCCATTATCCTTGCCACTGTCCCTTTCCCCACCATTACCTGCACAGAGTGTTACATTTGAGGCCTCCAGTCCCAAAATTGTTTCCCACATAGGAAAGTCTGTCTGTTTCAGCTGCCTGAAATACAGAGAGGGGAAACTGCATTTATAACCACTGCTGAAAGCTTTAAGCATCATCTCTTTTTTACATTGGCAGAAGCTTTAGAATCCAGCCCCACAGAGGATTAGAACTAGAAGGTCTCCGGGAGATGACCCAGCCCCACTAGCTCTGGGGTACCCCTGGGAGGAAAGCAAGAGGGCTTTTGAAAAGGAAGGCTCAGATGGTGCTGACTTCTAACTAGTATGAAAAGTTCTTGGGGGAGTTGCACCACAGGACTTGAGCCTGGGCTTACAGCACTTTAAGTATGCAACAGTGATTCTGCAAGCAACCTCCTTGGCCCAAAGTCCAAGCCCTTCTTGACCCTCTCTGCCCACTTCTCCTGTGACTGTTCTTTGTGTACCCTCAGGACCATGGAAATGGCTGATTCACTCCTCAGCCACAGCCAGCTTTCCTGCTTCCCTTCAGTTTTCCTTGCTATCCTCTACAGCTGGAACACCAAAGTTCGGCTAGCACCTCTCTCCAACCTTCAGGGTTTAGCTCCAACACGCCCTCCCCAAGGATCTCTGGCAAGCAGAGATCTCTCTCCTCCTACTGAGCTCACTCTGCCCTGTAGTTTTCCCCACTTGACCTCTGAGCTTTGTCTACTGTAATAGTGTCCCTCACATCCAATTCTCACCTCTCTAGAGTTGAGGTACTCAACCCAGAGAAATCCATTCCAGTGCTACTGGTATCTAGCAAGTAGAGGCCAGGAATGCTGCCAAACATCCTGCGATGCACAGGGCAGTCCCCACAACAAAGAATTACTGGCCCAAAATGCCAAGCGTGCTGAGGTTGAGAAATCCTGCTCTAGAGTATGAACTCCCTCTGAGGGAGACCAGGTCTGATTTGGCTGTTGCCTTAACAGCTTCCTGAACAGGGGTACAGTGGGAATTCTATAAATGCTTGTTAAAAGAACAAATGCGAGCCGGGCTCGGTGGCTCAGCCTGTAATCCCACGCTTTGGGAGGCTGAGGTGAGTGGACTGCCTGAGCCCGTGGGTCTGGGACCCGCCTGGGCAACTTGGCGAGACCTCATCTCTACAATAAATCAAAAACTAGCCGGGCATGGTAGCGCGCGCCTGTAGTTCCAGCTACTTGGAAGGCTGAGGCGGAAGGATCCCGGAGCCCAGCAGGTGGAAGCTGCGGTGGCCGGGAGCGGCCACTGCACTCCAGTCTGGGCGACAGAGTGAGACTCCAACTCAAAAAAAAAAAAAAAAAGAACAAATGCATAAAAGGTCACCACTTCACCAAAAGTACTAAGCCTGGATGAAGATGAAGCCCGTTCCTACACTCTAAGTTGCTGGGTCTTAGTGTTTTTTAAGGGCCCATTTGCTAATCCCCTTCTTCTCCCCTCACTCCCTCCCACAGCCATCTACACCCAAGGGGCCTCCTGAGACCTGCAGAGTGAAGAAGGCAACAGGCAATTGCAGCACTTACCAGAATCCGCTGACTCCTCTTCCTGGGGTTTGTGCAGTTGTTGCTCTTGTACAAGGCAAAGCGCATGTTGCCTGGATTCTGCAGCTTCCCATTAGAGAACTGGACTGTAAGAGTGCAGCCCAAGAATGAGAGCAGAAGGACCCACGGTGCCCCATTTCTATCATTTCACTGGGCAGGGATTCCCTCTGTCCCTTTAGGTCTGGACCAGGCCTCCTCTGTCAGCCTCATTCCCCCAGTCACTCTCTCCTGTCATAGCCCCTCCCCAGGGTTCCCCCATCTCCTCTTCCCAGATGACCCAGGACCTCCTTCAGGACCCCACACTTCCTTGCCATCCACATTCCAGCAATCACTCCCTCCCAGTGACAGTCGTTTCTCCCCAAGCTTTGGTGTTCCAAGTGAAGAAGATAGCACGGAAAAGTCTGATAGGTGATCCCTGGTCGAGCCCAAGGCAATTATGGCGACTAGAGGGGCTCCTGGCCTAGCTGGGGAAGGGGCCTAACGGAGGGCAGGAGGGCAGCCGAGGTACCGAGACGGAAGGGGAGAGGAGTAGGAGAACTGTGTTTCAGCTCTGCAGTCTTTACCCAGTACAGCCCTCTGGCTCTCGTCGGGCTCCCCACAATACAGCCACCTCGCACTCGGCAACACCTCCGACTCCATATCGCCCGCGTGGCCGCCAAGCCCAGGAGCTAACGCCGCAACCACGCGCGAGTTCTCGCACACGCGGAAGGCCAGACAGTGAGGCGAGCCGGAAGAGGCGTGGCCACGTCGGGCACCGCCCCAATAGCGCGGAGCCGCGTGGCTCCGCCCCCACGCGCTGAGGCGACATCCCGCCCCACACAGTGCCACGCCCCCTCCTTGGCCGGCCTCTCAAGGCGCAGCACCTGATTGGCCCAGCGTGCCGGCACATTATAGGTTTAGTGGGCTTAGAGTCCGAAGCGCCCAAAGGTCCTGGGGCTTCAGTGTAAGCTTGGTGTGGGCCTTCTTCCTGCTCAACATGTTCCCAGGAGAGAATGTGACTCTCTCCTACCGTGACAAATATATCTTGCAAAACCTGCAAGGCCCAGTTCAAATTTAGAATTCTCTTGACAGGAACTCCTTTGAGCCCCAACTAAATGCGGCAGCGGGCGGAGAGCCGCTGCCCTCTAGGGCCGCGTGTCCACACACGTGGATATCCAGCTCAATCCAAGTTTGTCCACAGTCCTGCAAACAGTTCCCCACCATGATCCCTCCTCGGACTGCAGCGTGCCTGTGACCCAATCAACCTTGAGAGAGGATGGACGGGGGGAGAAGCCCAGCGGGTTCAGATCATTTGGACAGGGGATTGTGGAGTGGACTGGAAAGGAGGAGTTCTAGCTGATGGGCATGTTCCTCTGTCCCTGCGAATTCAGCCTTTCTTCTGTACGGGGAGTTATCAGAGCAGGAAGAGAGCAAAAGCCGGGCTTTGAGCATGGACCCAGGTCGGGACTGGACCCCTTTTGCCCAAAGAGGCATACTGTTGAAGAACATACTGCAAGGCATACTGCAGGAACGCAGGTTGACTCATCTCTGTGATCCAAACTGCATTCTTTCAAGACCCTGAGAGGACAGACCAGGGGAAGAAGTCCAGCGGTCTTCTTCATCCGCTTCTCCATATCTCCATCTGCTGGTGTTTCCAGATAATGCTAATGACGAACTGAAAAGCCAAGTCAGATCCCCCAGTGAATTTGCCGTGACTCACCGTGGACTCTGGAACTGCTTCTCTACCTCGCTCCTTCTCTTCCTTTCTTGCATCTCTGCCTCTCCTTTTTCTTCCTTTCTTTCTGTGTTTGTGTCCTGTTCATCTGTCCCTCGGTCTAACACCCAAGATCCTAAGAATAACCCGAATTCCTCCATGCTCTTTGCCTGAGCACTTGTCACACTTTTCTTTTTCCTTTTTCTTTTTTTTTTTTTTGAGTCGGAGTCTCACTCTGTCGCCCAGACTGGAGTGCAGTGGCCGCTCCCGGCCACCGCAGCCTCGACCTGCTGGGCTCCGGCAGTCCTTCCGCCTCAGTCTTCCAAGTAGCCGGAACTACAGGCGTGCTACCACGCCCAGCTAATTTTTTTTTTTTAATTTATTGTAGAGATGAGGTCTCGCCAGGTTGCCCAGGCGGGTATCGAACCCGCGGCCTCAGGCAATCCACTCACCTCAGCCTCCCAAATTACGGGATTACAGCTGAGCCACCGAACCTGGCCACTTGTCACACTTTTCTAATTAATTACCCAATCTCAAACTTACAGAAACATTGCAAAAGCAGAGCAAATAACTTTTTTTTACCCTGAACCATTTAGAGTAAGTTGTCAACCTGATATCCCTTCACCCCTGAAGACTATAGTATTTCCTACAGACAAGAACATTCCCTAAATAACTGAAATAAAGCCGTCAGAATCAGGAAATGACATTGATACATTACTACCATGTAACCTTCACACACCATTTAAGTTCACCAATTGTCCCAATAATCTTTTTTTTTTTTTTTTTTTTGAGTTGGAGTCTCACTCTGTCGCCCAGGCTAGAGTGCAGTGGCATGCTCCCAGTCACGGCAGCCTCAACCTGCTGGGCTTCGGCGATCCTTCTGCCTCAGCCTTCTGAGTAGCTGGAATTACAGGCATGCGCTACCACGCCCGGCTGATTTTTTGATTTATTGTAGAGATGAGGTCTCGCCAAATTGCCCAGGCGGGTCTTGAACCTCCTGGCTCAGGCAATCCACTCACCTCAGCCTCCCAAAGGGCAGGATTACAGGCTGAGCCACCGAGCCCGGCTCCCAATAATCTTTTTATAGCAGAAACATCCTGTCAAGAATCAGTGTTGCATTCGCTGTCATAGCTCTTCCTCTGATCGGAAGGCTACCTTGCTTGACCCTACCTAATGACCTTTGGATTGAATTGTCCAGAAAGGGAGAAGGAAGAAGAAAAGAGTTTAATTTTGTAATTATTTGTTTGTCTTCCCCATTGATCTTTTTCTCACTAAACTTTTGGAGATTAACAATAGACAATTTTGGGGTTAAACGATAAATAGATCTATGTTTGTTTTGTTCACAGCTCTACCTCCAACTCCTGGAGTAGTGCCTGACATAATAGCCCCTAGGTAAACATGGAATGAATGAATGACAGGTAATGTTGGTTGAAATCAATTGATACAGGGTTTACACATAATAGACTCTGTAAATGTTGATTGGATGAAAATATGAACAGTTAAATAAAAATTCATGGGTGACAAAGACATCAGTGGCTACAAGGAGCAAAGTATAGTTCTTGAGAGAAGTGCCTTGGCCCCTCATGATATAGAGACACATTGTATGACCGAACTACTCAAAGTGTGGTCCATGGGAACAGCAGCCTCCACATGACCTGAGAGCTTGTTAGAAATGTTGGATCTCCAGCACTATCAAATCTTCTAAATCAAAACCAGCAGGTGATGTGTCTGCACTTGATGTTTGGGAAGCACTGTTGTACCAGACTCAGTTAAGGCACATCCTTGCCAGTCATACCAATTCTATGTAAATCCCAGGATTGACTGCTTTGTAGCTGGGTGGAAGAGTGAAGAGAACCACACCTACTGAGAGCAAAACTCCCAGAATTATCATAGGCAAGAATGCCAAGTGATAGAGATCTATCTAGAGAAGAAAAGTGTAAACAGTAGGTGGCTGGTAAGGGGAATGTAGTATACAACTTTGTTGTTTAGTTATTGAGCAGTGATTAAAAGCACACACATTACACATTCAGGCATATATAATTGGGTTGGGGCAGGAGGGAGCCCTACTGAGGCACTGACCAAAACCAGAAATCTATAGTGGCCTCTTCTAGATTAGAATCACTAAAAATCACAGGCAGAATTTATCACAAAATTTTTGTTTGGAAATTCAGAAACACCTAGAGTTCTGCCTTAGAGTTGTCTTTTAGAGAAGGAAAACTCGATGTTCGAGGAAGGGGAGGGAAGCAAAGTCCTCTTTTCCTGGGGTAATATCTCCATCTGCTGGTGTTTCAGGATAACACTAATGAAGACCTAAAAAGCCAAGTTAGATACCACAGTGGTTTTCCTGTGGCTCACCCTGTACCCTGGAAACTGCTTCTCTGCCTTGCTTCTTCTTTTCCTTTCTTGCACCTCTGCCTCTCCTTTTTCTTCCTTTCTTTCTGTTTGTGTCACCTGTTAACCGGTGTCACTCTCCTCTTCTCTATCATTCCCTTTCTCTTCTTTCATATCCCTGGTGCAGACTGTGCTTTGCACATATTGTAGAGGTATGAGGCATAGAACAAGGGAGGTGATACCTACACATAGATGACCCGCTCCTTATAAGGGCAGACATTTCACCTTGAACAGATTTTTCCTTACATGGATCTGAATCTGCCTCCTGTAGCTTCCCCCTATAGCCCCAGTTCTGCTCTCCAGGCCCATGCAGAACACAGCCAACGGCTCTGCTGAGAGCCTTTCAAGACCCTGAATACTCCTACCAGGTGTTTCATTTATCTTCTCTCCTGCTTCAGCTCCTCATTATCCCTTATACACCAAAGTTTCTAGGTCCCTCCTCAGTGTGGTCATACCTGCTGGACATACACTAGCATATCTGGGTCCTTCTCACACGGTGGGGCTCCACACAGCACAATACCCCAGCACAGGGCTGAGTAGCACGGAACACAAAGGATCTATCATCCGCCTTGTTCTACATGCCATATCTCTCTAACATGTGCACTTATTCTAAGTATCTATACTATTCAGTCAATTTATTTGGGGTTAACAATAAACAAAAGTTCTTGACTTTGCTTCTGTTAAATCATATCATTCCTGCAACTTTTTTTTTTTTAAACAAAGATGCAGGCCAAGCACAGTGGCTCGTGTCCAAAATCCCAGCACTTTGTGAGGCCAAGATAGGAGGACTGCTTGAGACCAGGAGTTTGACTCAAGCCTGGGCAACATGGTAAGACCTCATCACTACTAAAATAAAATAAAATAATTAGCTGGCTGTCTCTACAGGCTTGCGGCGTGGTGGGGAAAGACACGGCCTAGACAAGCAGAACGACGCCAGCTAGTTCGTGGACCTGTACCTGCCACGGAAATGCTCCACCAGCAACCGCATCATCGGTGCCAAGGACCATGCGTCCATCCAGATGAATGTGGTAAAGGTTGGCAAGGTTACAGGCAGATTTAACCACCAGTTTAAAACCTAAGCTATCTGCGGGGTCATTCGCAGGATGGGGTGGATCTAATGACTCCATTCTCTGATTGGCCAAGGCCGATGGCATCCTCTCAAAAAACTTTTGACTGGAGAGACCATGGGTATGAAACATCTGTCATAAATAAACAGCGACAACCTCAAAAAAAAAATTAGCTGGGTATGGTGGTACATGCCTGTAGTCCCAGCTACTTGGGGGCCTGAAGTGGGAGGATCACCTGAACCCAGGAGGTCAAAGAGGCAATGAACCATGATCGTGGTTTTGCACTCTAGCCTGGGTGACAGAGTGAGACCCTGACTTAATAACACACATATAAAGATACAGAGCTTTATATTAAAGCCTATTACATTTAATTATGTTAGATTCAGCCTGCTTAGATATTTAAATTGTCCCCAATATTACATATATGTTTTTGAAAATTATCAAAGAAATATATATTTTATGTAGAATATTGGGAAAATACAGAAAAATATAGAGAATAAAATTATAGTAACTCATGATCCCCTCCCCACCTAAACATAACAATTATTGACATTCTGTTGTATTTCATTCTAGTTTTTTTCCTCTCTGAATGCG